GTTGCCGCTCCTGGCCACCGCAGCCTCGACCTGCTGGGCTCCGGCGATCCTTCCGCCTCAGCCTTCCGAGTAGCTGGAACTACAGGCGCGCACTACCACGCCCGGCTCATTTTGATTTATTGTAGAGATGAGGTCTTGCCAAGTTGCCCAGGCGGGTCTCGACTTGGCTTTTGAATCCACAAAATGGAAAAATGAGCTGTACTTCCCTGTGATATTGGGAAGATTAAGAGACTCAAGCCAAACACCCAGACTGTGCCTGGAGGGCTGTAGGCCCTCAGCAAACTCCCACCCCACTTTCTTGACGTCTCCAGGGTTTTGATAGCCACACATGGGCTAGAACCCTGGCCTCTGGCTTTCCATGCCAACTTTCTCTTACCCCACCACGTGCCTCTTGCATTCAGGAGCATCCAGGGAGAAGTGACAGCTGAGAAGATAATGTGGAGGAAGAATGTGTGCCAGGGAGCAATTGTGCAGTGCCATGTGCAAAGCAGTGACAGGAGTCAGAGGGAGAGTGGCTCTGCATCGCAGAAAAGGCCAGTCCTGGTGCTAATGCTCTGCTTACGAAGGCAAAGGACAACTGCTAGAAAGAGATCTTACCCGAGGGGTCCAAACCTAACACGGAGGAGTCTTGAGCAAGAACCTCAGCTCCTTCCTGGCTGTGCAGGGAACTCTACTGCGGCTTCAGGACTCCCTCTCAGGGAAGCATATCCTACTGCTCCTTAGCTCCCCAGCTGGTAAATTCTGCCTTATCCCCAGCAGAAATTGGCCATTTGGAAAGCCCTGTGTCTAGTGCCTGCTTACACTGGAACAGCTTTCAGCTATGTCAACCTGGCCACATAAAGGGTCTTTTCCTCTGGAAGCAGGAGAGGCTGGCAGTGGATTTTTTTTTAAGACAGGGCTTCATTCTGTTGCATAGGCTTGAGTGTAGTAGCACAATCACAACTCAGTGCAACCTCAAACTCCTGGGCTCAAGTGATCCTCCTGCCTCAGCCTCCTGAGTAACTGGGACTACAGGTGCATGCCACCACACCTGGCTGATTTTTGTAGCAACCTGGCTCTGGGGGTCTATGTTGCCCAGGCTTGCCTCAAACAATCCTCCCAAAATGCTGGGAATATAGGCATGAGCCATTGTGCCCAGTCAGGCACGTGGATTTGACAGCAGGGTTCAAATGGCACCTGTCACTCAACAGTTAAATGATGTTCTAGACTTTTTCTCATCTGCAAGATGGAGATTACACACAGTACCTACCTCATATGGTTGTTGGAAAAATCAAATGAAACCACAGCAGTAACATGCCAAGCAAAGTGTTTAGCACATGATGCTCAGTAAACATAAGTTCAGTCACACCCTGAAGAGCAAGGACTATTGTCAGCTCAAAAAGGCAAAACGTGGTCAGAATAATCCCTGAAAATCCCTTAAATTGCCCACAGAGTTAGAAAAGATCACGTTATTCTTGAGCCGCACTGGAGACTCACATACCCCCTCAAGTCCAACACATGGCGTGTCCTCAGCTGAGAACCTGATGAAGCAACCAGCTTGTGCTGAGGGGCTGGGCAGGTAACTAAGGAAGGGCCAAGGCCTCATCGGCCACATCTTGCCTCAGTGCATCCCTTCCAGGGAACAAAAGCTTCTGTCATGATACATTTTCCCACCTCACCCCTCCCAGGAGGGGCAGCCAGGAACAAGGCCCGGGTCACCCAGTTTGGACTGGCATCATAAAGGGAGTTATGCAAGTTCTCCAGCACTTGGGTTCTTAGAGACCAGAGACACCCTCTCCCTTCCTCTCCTGCAAGCAGACTGCACTTGAACACTTGGGTCTTCCCCATTCTTTATTTGTTCAGTCACTCCCCTCTTCTTCAGACATGGCCTTTGCCACATCTGACATGCATACAACTGCAGAGCCTCTCAGAATGAGGCCCCCAGCGAGGGGAAGATGCAGGGCCCAGTCTCCCAAAGACCCAAAATGCAGGTGGGGGTTGGGGCTTGGGGAAGTTGAGTCCCAAGTTCAAGATGACGGCTAGGATTAGAACAAGGGGGGGTCCTCAGAAGAGGAGCTCAGAAGTACAATGAAGTGACTGGCAGGGGAAGCCTCTCGGGAGAGCCCAGAAGTCTTCAAGGCAGCACTGTCTGGAAAAGCTGTACGGCGGTAGTTCCAGCATCTACATCTCCAGCTTTGGTAGCCCCCGTGCCCACTTGGGGCAGCATCTCAGGGCAGTCTCCTCTGATGCTCCCTCCAGACGGGGCTCTGTCGTTCCAACCCCACTGGGTGGCTTTGGTCCGGGGGTCAGGTAACACCACTGCTGACAGCCTAAGGGTGACAGCAGCTGTGCCCTGCTCTGGCTCACCTCTGAGCTGTCTCTGTCCCATCTGTCTCTTTTCAGTGACTCCTGTTGCTAGCACTACCAATCCCCTGCACTCAATTCCTGCTTTGAAATACTCACAGTGGTTTCTGTAACCCTACTAGCACCTGACTGAAGGGGTATCTAAAGGGAATCTCATCAAGAATTGGACTCTTGATCTTCCTCACAAGCCCCAGTGCACCCCGTCTTAGTAAACAACTCCATCA